CAGAAGGGAAACCGAGTTTTATGACTTGGGGACTCTTGGGGAGTCGCCACGCATCCGAGTCTCGGCCTCACCCAGGCCGAGGCGTGCAAGAATCTTATTGGATCAATTTCACGTCAAGTACGATCATATATCACCTGTGAAATATGGCAAATAATTATATTCGAATAAATAAATGCCATTAAATGAAAACGGAATGAAATTTCTTACGAGTCGGGGCCTGTATAGGTTGAGAACCACTGTTTTGTAACATTAATCTGAAATCTTTTTTGTCTTTACCTATTCAATGATCATATTTTAATTGCCACTCGACACGTATCGCTCTATCATTATTGTAATTGATATATACTTTTTGTTTCCTTTGTTTCTTTCTTATTCATGATTTTAATAAATCTACGTACGTTCATTTTTTTTTTTTTTTTTTTCTGGTCTTTTTGAAAACAAATTAATTCTCGGTACAACGAATCTTTCTTTTATGCAATTTTCGAAATTTTCATTTTTCGATTTCTTCTTAGAATGCATACTTTTGTTGACAGTGCAACTATTTGACCACTCGTTTTCAAGATACTTAAATTCTTCTCCTTTTCGCAGCCATCTTGTTCTCGCGATCTTCTTCAAACAAGACTGATTTCGACAGAAGGATCGAATGGACTTTAAAAGCTACGCTTTTATCTTTTTAAGTACGCTTTTTAAGTCTACAGAGACGAGAGACCGTATTAAAGCAATGTATTAACTATAAAAAAAATATATATGTATATAAATAAAAAGTATAATAAAAATATATATATATATATTTAAAAAAAAAAATTACAAGAATATATATATGTATATATAAAATTACGTGTATAAAATAAATTACAAACTGTCTAATTTCTATTCAATTTCGTATAATTAAGAAAACAATTTTCATGATTACAATTCCATCAAACTTGCTTACGCGTGCTCGCACACACGTATCCCTTACACAAATATTATTTGCGTTGCCAGATCTCACGAAATTCTGTAGGGAAGATGGTTTAATCAACGAAGTGCCTCATAGGCATCTTGGATATTTGTATATTTTGCAACGCACGGTTTCGCTCACTGGCAAGAGGTATCAGGGGCGCCTAGGTGACGTAAGAGTCGCAATTAAAATACAAAAGTTGAAAGAAACGGAACACGCGATATAGCTGGACTTTAATGGTATTGACCAATGTCGGTACCGTACACGACCTCTTGATCTCTCAATAAATCAGAAACACCGGTGGTGAGGATCGTTGTTGGCGATAAATCAAACGAGGCAACGATTACTTTTGTATTTATATGCAAATAACTTGAGTGGAGTGTCACTTGGGACTAAAGACTTGCACGTTAGTCGCGGATAATGACCAGTGGATGAAATAATCGATAGCAATAAAGGATAAGTGATGTGGCCTCACGTTTTACACGCCCGTTAAATCGACCAAACTGACGAAAGACACGAAACGATGTTAACAGCTGCCACTTTAATTAAGTAACGTTCCATAAACGTATGTAGATATCATAAATATACAAAACAAAATATTTTTATACACAAGGAAAAATTTACACGCGACTAAACGCAGCGAGAACTGTTCTTTACTGGTATTAAGAGAAAGGAAAAAATCGTGTTTTTATAAAATTTTTCTCTGTGCACGAGAATTTAGCATTTTAAATATTTTAATTAATAAAATTCATAAAATGAAAATTTCTCGGTGTTAATTTTTCACGGTGACACTTTTTTTTTCGCTTTGACGTCGATGCGTTTGCATATTATTATTATCGTAATAAATAATTTTTTTGTAACATAAAATACTTCGTATAAAATAGAACAACTTTTTCTGGATCTAACGAAGAATTAATATTGATAGTAAACATGAGAGATAGTAATTTGCAAATATTAATGTGTCCTTTCAAAGTGTCCCTTTGAGAAAAGCTCTCTAAAGAAATAAGAAGAAAATTTCAGAGAAAGGTATCGAAGAAGAAAATCAAAGAGAAGATAAAATCAAAACGGGTAAGGTCAATCTCCTTTCGCGATGAAAATGTTGTATATTCGTATATGACTTAACCTATTTATTGTCTTATATTTTATCACAACGTTCGATCGAATATTTCTTTCATTCTAATTTCTTTCGTTCTTTGAAAAGTAATGGTGTTTGATTGAAAACATTTACTATTGTCGATCTACTTGCATTATCTCGATTATAATAGTATATATGCATTTGTACACACTTTGAATTGAGACTCAAAGAATAATCGTTATCTTTGAAACGATGGCAGTGTTAGTCGCATTACCAATTACTTTTATCTGTCAATAAGCAAACGGCCTTAACGATTACCTATATGTCCCACGTGTATTGCGCACCGGCTGTAACTATTCCTGTGATATACTCGCGTGCTTCAGATATGTGTTATTTGCGAAACGAGAGCATTATTTGTCAGAGAGAAGATCGATACGGTAGTGTCAATAAGGAACTCTATGCTAGTCTACCTTGTTCTGGTTTTTCCCTTTCTCGAAGACGTGGCTCGTTTTTCGGTTTTCATTTCTTTTGTTTCTTCCGTCTCGTAAATCATTGTTTCTATATATGTATATTGAAATATATTTTAATACAAATAAAAACAGAATTGATAATAAGAATAAAATTGATTTATTAATTATTTTTATATAATTACTAAAGATTTTGTACATTTATATAGAAAAAGATTAATAGAGAATTTATTTTTATTTATTTCTATGAATCTATATTTATTTTTAATTACAAAAATAACCATGGTAAAAAAAATTGAATTTTAAAATTATATTTCGTATATGATTCAAAACATTATTAAAGATCAGAATTATTAATTGATGATTTAAATAATCATTTATAAAATATAATAAATTTTTTTATAATTAGTTTCTTTCCAATAAATAAGTTATCATTTTTTGGTAAATTCTGGGAGGTTAACTTCGTAGTTAGTTTTCAAATATTCCGTTTGAGTGCGTTACCTGTAAGTCTCGGAGATTTTGTATATCATTGTTGATAAAGCAGATTTCCTTGATTCAAAATTTAAAATTAAAACTTATAAAAAAAAATCTTAAAGTATTTCTTTGATTAATGTAATCATTTAGAAAATCTAATTAAACTGTTGTTTGTAAATATTCAGTATTCAAAATATAAAAATTTCCTTATCTAATAACAAAAAGAATCTATTCTCTTGCTTTTGGTATTTATTGAAATTTAATCATTTCGTTATTATATGTAAATGAATTAACTTGTTTATATATCTTTAATTATATATATATAATTATATATATAATATATATAATAAATTTCAATTAAGATATGTTTTAGTTAATTATTTATTCGTATATATAACATAAATTGTATTGGTTCTATTGCTATTATTCAAAAATTCAAAAATATAAAATTGATAGTCGATTACTCACATATGCGTTTTCAAAATAACTTTTTTTATATTTAATTCTTGTTATATTTGTATTCCATTTCTATACATATAAATGTATCTTAATATATCTCTATAATCTTAAATGTATATTTTAAATTATTCTGTTTTTTTCTTTTAAATATATAGAACAATTGCATCTGTAAACTATTTGAAAGTTGAATTTTTCCAAAAATTACTATACTCTGCTCTTTAGTAGTCTTTCAGAATTATAGTTTGCAATACAATGTGGAGAGGGAACAAACCGTACTCTTTCTTTATGAGGGTTTTATACAACTGTATGGACTATATAGACAGAATATATATGCAGCACTATACATATGATTGTATGATGGTGAGTAGCGTGGCGTGTAGTCTAGACTGCTGTGCTATAGTCAGGGGCGAATCAAGAATGGATGCCAACACCCTGCATAATAATGCAGTGAGATATAATTAACCTTACACTGTACTTCTATAATTAGCTATCTTCCTGTCTTTGAATCTTTATATTCTATATTAATAATATATGTATATAATATACGTATAATTTGTGTATATTTACATTTATCGATATTAAAAAATAAATTAGTTTAATTATTAAAATATTTATGATAAATTCGATTAATTTATTATTTTTGCATTTCGCTTTGAATAAAAAACCAAGATAAAACAAATTTATAAATTATTTTCTATAGAAGATATGGTAGCTTTTCAATGTTAAAATAAGTGTCACAGAAATAATAAAATTTTACGTTTTCATACTTGTATAGTAAAACGTCACTTACGTAATGCTCACGGTAATCAATTTCTGTAAATGGACAACTTCTACGGTGACCTTATGCTAAGTATTCTAAGAAGTAATAAGCCTAGGTAGATTAGCTCGACTAACGTAATTGATTGTCAGTTATATCCACAACCTCGTCTGTATTTGGTATATTACATAATTCCTGAAACGATCTCTTCACTTTTATTAAAGTTTAAATGTACTAACTCATAAAAATAACTGTAACAAAGTTGAAAATTTTTAAAATGTCATTAACTTATGTAATTGATTATAAATTGCACCAAACAATCACAATGTAATATCTAATAACATAACCTCTTTTCACAAAAATTAAATCATTTTATTTTAAATGATCAATAAATCAATTTTAGCCAAATTCATTGAACAAGATTGTATCTTCTATTTGAATTGGAAAATGAATAATATGTAATAAGAAATCAAAGAGATACGGCCCTGAATGTAACGCGTATAGCACGCGGTCGTACAGTGAGAGTTCAGGTTTTGTCGTTCAAGCAGACGATAGTCAGTGCATGCAGGTCGTGCGGTAGATTCGTCTGTGTCAACTTTTCGTCTGAGAATCGTCGATATTATTTCCGGTTTAAAAAGCACTTTCCTGTCGAATCTCAAATACGAGGCAATAAACATACGTGCATTTATCTTACCACGTTGTCGATATTGCGCGCCACGGACTAAGAATTTCCGCAATGAAGGTAAACACAGTGATGTGCGTTTTCGATTTGACGATCGGAATGATGATTTGAACCAAGTCGTTTTCCATTCGATTTGCCACTCATATCATATCATACTAACGATATTTAAAAAACTAGTCGATGATTGATATAAAGAATAAATCGATTATATTGTCTACCATTGCTATGTAACGGTATCAAATGATTGTATAATAGCACTCCATATTCGTATCACAATTCTATGATTCAAATTTAAATTCTACTGATATTTTTACCAGATTTATCGAAATATGATATAATTTTCAATAATTTATTACAATACTTTACATTGTTAAACAAGATAATATATGTAAGTTAATTTTTGAATGGTCGTTTATTTTGATGTATCGAATGGAATACAATACGATAATACAAAATGTTGTTACTGATTAAATTAATAGGTTGAAATTAATTTTTATCAGTCCACACAAGCGTCGTGTAAAAATTTCAATAAAAATTGAACGCAATTTGTGAAATATGAATGTTTCAGATATCACTCATACAATATCGACTGGATAGATTTATCAAAGGTTTACTTTATTTATCATATATTATTGATTGATCGCTATGATAATATTAGGTAATAACTTTAGCTCAGGTAAAAGCGAAATTTTTAACTAACTAAAATTGTATAGAAAATTTTATGTTAAATCAAAAAATAGAAATATTTTATTTTTTTTATCAATGAATTTTAATTTTTTCATTAATTTTTTTTATAAAAATTCCATTATATATTACATATGGAATTTATGAATATGGAAATGTTTTCTAAAAATATATATATTCAATATATTACGAAAATAGTAACGTAGTTGGTCTAACAATATATTTCTTACATAATACTGTATGCAATTCAAAAAAACTATTGCATATTATTATAATATAATTTTATTTGTATTGAATATTAAATGATAATGTTTTAAATGTTGACATACAAGAATTCCTATTCTAAAATTTATATACAAAAAAAAAAACAATTTTTTCTACAGAATGAATAAATTTAACTATATTTAGTTAGTTAGTTAGAATCATTTCTTTAATGTGTATAAATTAACATATTTTCATTATTGTTAATTCTTTTTATAAATATTTATATTTAAAATGTATTTTATTTATATGTATACAACATGTATAAAAGTTTTTATAACATTTTCCTCTGAATTAAATATTATTTTATGCTTTTATTATTAATAAATATATTAGGGTGTTTCAAAAATAGATAATCATTTCAATATATACAGTAATTATTAATCACTTATAAATTATTGCAAAAGGATTATATTCCAATTACTTATGAACAAGTATAACATATATTATATATTAATCAAAGTTATAGCAATATGATTTGCGTAGTAAGCCATGTTACATCAGCGCCGCCACTCGGTTGTGGCGTTACAGCTAACAAAATATTTTTCTTTGACCGTTGAAATCTCTACTTCATCAAAAATAATAATTATAGAGGAGGCCGTGATCTTATTGTGAATGAAATTTAAAATTCATATTTTACTTTTATGAATTTTTATATTCGAAATAGTATTTATTTAAAAAGTTATTTGGACCATTTCTATTTTAATAAATCACGATTTCGCGTTAATTTCAAGTAATCGACATCTACAGTGATATTTAAAGCTGCTGATTAAAACAAAATTGAGAAACTTTTTTATACATTTGTTGTTCAATATTGGAATAGATGGAGCATTAAAAAATACCTCATTGTTACTTCAATGAGGATACAGCCTTAATAGTATGCGCGCTTTTATTATCTTCATTTACGCCAAGAAAGATCAAACGTATGTTTAGTAATAAAAGACATCTCATAAGGATATTCACGTTTATCACTTATACATGCATTGCGACACCGTGTTATGTGATCCATAACTCCATCAGTGTTCATAACTTTCCAATCTTTGTCTCATTATGCAAGACATAACAATGTAACTGCCAACGGTAAGATAGAAAAATATCTTTTTAAGAAGATGCATATGTCATGATATATCATTACTTTCGTAAAGTACTTTTCCAATGTGAAGAATTGCACGTATATATTCAAAAGTTTTAAAATATTTTTAATATTTGCAATTTAGAAAAAAATGACAAAAGTGAAGTTGATTACTTTATTAGTAGATTTATTAGAGGTTATATAACAGTAGTTCTCAATCTATCGAATCTTCAAAGGAGTTTGAAAGAATTTTTTGTAGAATCGCAGCGGTATTTTTCGTTAACAATTATTAATATTCATAATATTCATAATAATATTCATAAATTTTAATAATAACATATTTTTTTTTAATCGTAACACATCTAACAGTTAGTGAGAATATATGCTAAAATGAAACGAAGAAAAGAAATGATGATTTTATGTGAGATCGAAAGAATCGGAAGAATATATAATATAACTTTTTAAAAAAAATAAATAAAATGAAACTATAGTGATCGTGTTTCGACGAAAGTATTTTTTCAAGAATGAAAACCAGCAATGAAAAATACAACTTGATACGGAAAATTTCTCGACCTATTGGATCTCGTAGAAGAAAAACTGGATAGAAGCAACCGAAAACAGAAGTTGTGAATTCACGATATACCAATCATGTAAGTCTTTTCTCACAAATATGAAAATATTCAAGTGTATTCAAAAAGAAGATTCTTTGATCCGAATTAATATTAATACGAACACTAGTAAAACAAGTTTTTATGGTAGCATATTTTAATGCATAATTAACCAATATCGAACAACATTGCTTTCACTCGAGCAGCAACAAAATGTTACTAGTCACATTTATTTTTGGTGAAAGTAACTAGTTGAAAAAAAGAAACTAACCTTTCTTATCAGTTAATATATTTCTACTATAAAGGTAGATATATATATATATATATATATATATATATATATATATATATA